GCACTGTCTGACGCGTCTGCCTCCGCGACCCGAAAGGAGAAGCGGCGATGGAAGATGAAGATGAAGATTCGTTTCAGCAATTTAACAGGGTAACGGAACGCGATGGTGTAATGTCGAAAAAGTCGACTTCAAATTGTGAAGTGCGACGTTCGATTCCAGGGAAAGGACGCTCTTTATCTTAACTGAAAATTCTCTTGGCAAGGAATTTACCTTACATTGCTTCGGTGCAATCAGCAGAGAAGCTGGCAGCAAGTAGTTAACATCCGAACAACAGGGACACTTTTATGTTGATACCAGAACGGGCCGGAGAAGATACGTTCATGTTGCCTGATGCGAGAATCTCACTGGGCTGCAATTTGCCTGTCCAACTTGACAGCTGATTATTCAATACGGTAGTCAGCGGAAGGAGAATATTCGAGTATGCTAGGTTGGGGGATTCCATGGCTTATCGACTTGAAATTATGTTAGAATTCAACAAACGAACACCACAGCCTACAATTTTTGGCAGTCCTATTTTAAAGGCACAGTCCACAGCAGCTATGCGACTCTTGTTTTCTTGACACAGAATGGCACTGATTTATCAACCCTGACAGAAAGAACGTCGAGACTCCCCGAGGCTTGAATTACGGAACTCGCTGTTCTGAGTCCGACGCTTTACCAACTGAGTTATTCCGGTCTGAAACAACGTTGGGTAAATTTCTTGCTCAAGGGAATCGGTCGCTAAGACAAAAAATTGTTCTTCAGCCGGAATCAAATCCGGCATCTCTTGTGTTCGAAGCCGATATTATAAACAGTGTGTCATCACGTACCTCATCACGTGTTTAAAGGGTTGTTGGCATGATACAAAAATTTGGACAATACTATAGCGCCGAATTTTATTAGTTATGATCATTCAGCACTGCAAAATATACGCTTTTACAAATTCTAGATAACATACATCAAGCTCCTTCTCCCGTATCCCATGAACTGTCATACTTTCTTCAGAGGGTAGGGAAAGCGAAAACAAATTCATGGTTCTCTCAGAAATTAATAAGAATTATCATTTCAATTCATCAGTCAGGGTTTCTTAGAGAATATCTTAAATGAATAATCCGTTGATTAAACCTAGATCCTAAATTAATCCTTAAGGAGCAATTTAAAACATTCGTTTAGTTTATTCAGCATGAAATGTAATTCCCAAGGTAAATTATTTGTTGATTTACGTATATAATATGCTGAGAGTGGATTTAAGGTGCTGCTGAAAGATAAACTAGTTTCCCAAGATTTTAAACGCCTTTCATTCGTTTATAATTAACATTGTTTATTTTTTTAAATTCAGATAGTGCTAGAATGATTCATTTAGTGCTCTTTACCATCTTTTTCTGAGTGAAACCAGCAGCATCAAAAATAACCTCACAATTATCAGGCCAATTTTTAAAGTAAATACAAATTTAACACAGCGCAAATTTTACAATGTTTATGCATCCTGAGAATCATATTTGCTGAACTAACGGTTGACACTGTCTTAGCGCAATCTGTGAAAAAAACAACAGCGACAGTTGATTGCGCAATCATAAGCAAGTTTCTGCGGTCATGGTTCATTAATGCGCGCCAGAAATTCATGAGATTAGGCTGCTACGCGACTGTCCAATAGGAACCTGCGATCTGGCATACTGTAGCACTTGCCGTTTTAGCGGCTTAAAATTTGAGGATTATTTTTACGACGTTCGGTAAACGACATGAAATTTAGCGCGCCGTTAACGAACGTAAATAGCACAACTGTGAGAGAGCTACTGATAGGGAGGATCGTTGCGGTACGTCGTCGTCATGGCCGAAGTGTCTCGACTTATCGACTGAACAACGAACCGGTTGGCAGTG